GACGAAACAGTTTGTCACAGCCCCTCGTTTGTTGTCCTCTTCTCCCTCTCTGCCTACGGTTTACCGGGCAGTTCTATTTGACAATATATATAATAAAATTAAAAAAAAAAAAATTAAAAATAAATCATCCAGTTCTCCCTCCCTTTGAAGTTCAAACTGTATTAAACTCCATCCACTCTGAAGACTCTGCTCTGAACTGTTTTAAACTTTGATGTTTGAACTGGCAGGACCTTGGCTGATGTTGTTGGTTGCTATGCAGCGACATTGTTGGCCCTTAGACACCTCCATGTGGGGTTGAGGGGGGCGTACGGGGAGGTGCAGTGACTGGCAATTGCTCGACGCTAGCACTGCTGATGTCCCCCATCGGCAATGCCTGCCCACCCCTCATCACCGTGATGAGGGACTGGTACAGCCTTGCTTTTGCAGCACTTGCACACAACGTTCAATCAATTTTTTCACGGATGTCCTGGAGACCAGAAGTCAAATGAAATAGAATAGACTCAATAGAGAAAGCATTTTGATTGTTTCATTCTGCGTTTGATTTTCTAAACTTTGGTTTGTTTTTTCTCCTCTCTTTATAACCTTTGGGGTTTTGGTCAAGTACTCTGCATGCAAGCTTGTTGGAAACACTGTAGTGACTGATCCCTCTGCCACTGTATTTGTCTCCCAAGGATGAATGGCCTGGCCATGTAGCAATATATGCATATCCGGAAAACAGAAGTAAAGGGCATCGCGGCGATATACCCTCGGCCTGACTGTGAATGATCCTTGGATTGCCAAAAAAGGGGTTGAATCATTGAATGCAGATTGGTTCAAAACTTGCACTGGACTATCCCATACTTTCTGTGTGTTTGTCTGTGTTATGTGTGTGTGTGTGTGTGTGTGTGTGTGTGTTGTGTGTTTGTCTGTGTTATGTGTGTGTTATGTGTGTGTTTGTGTGTGTGTGTGCGTGTGTGTTTCTGTGTTATGTGTGTGTGTGTGTGTGTGTGTGTGTGTGTGTGTGTGTGTGTGTGTGTGAGAGAGAGAGAGAGAGAGAGAGAGAGAGAGAGAGGAAACATACCAACGGAAGCAAATGGTTATGTTTCTCACCACTGAATGGTAAATTGTGTTTGTTAACGTTGCTGTACACATGTCAAGTGTTCAGAAAACTGTTTCAGGATCAGTAGTTTTCGTTCTTTGGGCAGGAAGTAAATGCCTTTCAGAAGATTTAAGTGTATTGATGATGTCAAGCATTGCTCAAGTATCACCTTTCTTCCCCCACTACTCACAGTATAAACTCTCTCTCTCTCTCTCTCTCTCTCTCTCTCTCTCTCTCTCTCTCTCTCTCTCTCTCTCTCTCTCTC